TGTACATTGGCAGCATATTCAGTAATGATTTTCTCACACAGCAAATACCACTGATTTTAAACACATGCAGCCAATAGACATAATCATCCAGATACGATCTTGATATTCAACCAACCTAAAAAATCATAGTTTATAACTTTGAACATAACCTGTCTTCAGGAAGGACAACATATAAATAACCCGTCGGGCACAGCTAATAGATATACTTCATCCACATGTGATCTTTGCTATTCAACCAACTTTCTTATCAGAGATGAAAACTACAGACTACTCGGCTTCACAACACGTATGCAACCAACAACGCGTGTAGTTGAGTCATTCCTCCATAGATGGACGCTCACAACGATCCTAGTGAGCAAACGTGGAATGACTACTTGCACCCTAAAAACTACCTAGTCTGCAAGATGACTTTTTTTACATTTTATAGGTTTTTTACATAATACCCGTGCGGCAAATAATATCACGAAAAACCTCTATACTGCCAAAAAATGACAGTGTCACTTTTCGAGACACGTAATACCCATGCCGTCCAAAAGTAGGATCATTTCTTCAAATATGCTAAATTTTTTAGGACATTCCTCGGCTTCAGTTGATGTTATCCTCTGCTATGTCACTAAGACTAAATCCCACCTTCCAGAACCATACGCAGGTTAAGGCTTAGGTTCGCTGTTTAATAATATATTGATTGTTAAACTCAAATGAAATATTAAACCACATTTATTATCAACATCTCCTGCTGTCAATGACAAATGGCCCTGCGATACATGTAATGACATTCTATATCTTTCAGAATATCATTCATACTTAATAATTAAGATTTTTTGCCTGCGTCTGCAAAAGGACTTGAATATAAATATCATTTGGTGCAGACAATGGCTGTGAACACTATCGATGGCTGAAGTTCATAAAAAACATGGGCATTTACAATGCATTGTTCTTTGTGAAATTGTCATTGAGATGTTATATGCATGTATAGGATAAAGGAAGATTGATGGTATTCTGAGAACAGAATGTATGGTTCAATTGTTTTTTATGAAGAAAAGCGCCTATAAACAGACACTATAGGGTGTAAACGTTATGGTAGTCATTATTGAAATGGGTAAGAGGGGGGGGGACCACTATCTTACTAACTTTTATAATCTAATAATAATAACAAATGGCCTTTATTCGTCACATGATTAACAAAATAATAGGCTTAAAAGGAATAGCGACGAAAAGGTGGGAGTGTCAGCTTATTCTGTTTTTCAACCCGACCTAAAAAAAAACATTGACACAAACTATAAAGAGGAAAAAAAATACCTACATTTAAATGGCACACTTCACAACATTGACCACCAAAAAGAGGAAAGCTTAAAATATTACGCTTCTCAGAAAAAGGAAACAATCAATTACCTGTCTAAAACGTTTTTAAATTGGGTAATTAACAAATAAATGGCATTAAGTTTTTCTAAGTTAAGCTAAAATTTGTAGTCAGTAAGTAAGTTTCATTAACTGAAATATTTAAAACACACATGACAACAGCGCGTCGGCCTTTCAACACTCTTATCTAACCGGCAATCGATCGCAAACGGTAACAGTGGTTAGTTATCGGGCATCGGGCCTGTTGTTTTGTTTTTGTTCGCGTACGACGTTGTGTTTATTTACAATGTTCTCGAATCAAGAGTTCGCCGACATGTTGTTAGTTTACGGTGAAGTTCGTCGGAATTCAAATCTTGCAGCTCAAATTTATCGCGACAGATTTCGCCAACGGGTACACCCGGACAGAAGGACATTTGTGCAAGTGTACCAAAGACTTCGAGATACAGGAAGTGTTCAGCCCACTAATATTCGCACTCGTGAAAGACAAGAGAAACAAATTTTAAATATCGTGGAAATCAATGCAGATATCAGCACTCGGGAATTAGGCCGCCGCGAAGGACTATCGCATACCATAGTCCATAGAATCCTACGGGAAAATTTGCTTTATCTCTACCATGTACAACAAGTGCAGGCCTTGTTAACAGAAGACTATCCTCGCAGACTAACATTCTGTCAGTGGTTTTTGCACAAAAACATTGAAAATCCGGCTTTTTTTAAAAACATTCTAGCGACGGACGAATGTACTTTTACGCGAGACGGGATATCAAATTTCCATAATACTCACACGTGGGCCCGAGAAAATCCTCATACCATTCGTGAAGGTGATTTCCAACAACGTTTTAAAATAAATATTTGGGCGGGTATTCTTGACAGTCAGGTAATTGGCCCTTTCGAGTTACCCCCACAGTTGTCAGGAGGATACCTTAGCTTTCTAGCCAATAACCTACCAGAACTTTTGGAACAGACCTTAGACAACACGCCTTTACAACGGAGACAGAATTTGTGGTTTCTTCATGACGGGACACCACTACACATTTTTCGAGGCGTCATTCAGTATTTAATAATAATGAACCAAATCGCTGGATCGGTGGAAATGCTACTGATCCTCGAAAATGGCCAACAAGATCTCCTGACCTCAATCCGATTGATTTCAGGTATTGGGGAGAACTTAAAGGGATGTTTTATGGGGCTGGTCCAATAACAACTGAAGCACAACTTCGCGAAAAAATGTTTAATGCGGCTGAAATAATAAATGGACAACTTCGAGGACCTAGAGCATTGATTCCCAAAGTGCTCTATATCGACCCCTAGGGGTCTATGATAACCTGCAACGGGTCTACGTCAGCGAAAAAAAATTTGGGAGTCCATGAAATGAATATGGCGGTCCATCTCAACACATACACTGATAGTACCTATTTACTTACATCATACTATCTTATAATATCAAAACATATATATTATTTATAAAAGTACCTATGAAGTAAAAAATGTATTATATATGTTTATAAAATTGTGTAAGTTGTAGGATGTTGGTATTCGCTTTGTGGTCGCAATACATTTTGAACTTGTAAAAACCTGAGAGTCGCAGTCTCAGAGCTTCGCTACCTTGCACTGACTTGTTCAATTCGTCACTCTATAAATACGAATGTGGGACAAATACGTTTATTCGTTTCCTGAATCTTGAAAAGGAAAGTGCTAAGAAAATATTTTAAAAAATATAAACAGTATATCACAGAAATTATAGTGAGTCAGTGTTATTTTGTTTGAGAGTGCTGGAGAAAAGTAAGTACATTTTTTTTATTAAATTTTAGTTTTGTACTCTTAGTTAGCAAAGATAGATAAATTACGCCAATCATGACTTTAGTTATTAGTAGTTAAATATTTAATCATGCCAAATTACACGAGTACTCCTCAATAGTTTCTTTTTGAAAGTTTTAGCAATCGGTAATATAATTACAGTGCAATCTCCGTAATTCGAGCTAATTGTTGCAAGAAGATGTTCGAATTATGGAATGTTTTCGGAAAAATCAAAAAATATTTTTAATATACAGCTGCTGGATTTTCTGTCTTATTTAAATAATTGAATTTTGCCCACAGATGACTGAACCCATGTCCGAATCTAAAAAGAAATGTAGACAGTACAGTGTTGATTGTTTGAAATTTGGCTTCATTCCATCATTGCCGGACAAACAATCGCCTATGTGCCTTTTATGCAACAAAGTTTTGGGCAATGACGCTATGAAACCATCTAAACTGCAAGATCATCTGAGAAGATGCCACCCTGATAAAACTGAGAAAGATTTGAAATACTTTCAAACACTCAAAGATAAATTTCAGAAGAGACCTACACTGGATAGAATGTTCGCTTCGACGTCACAAAGAAATGATGATGGTTTGCGGGCGTCTTGTAATATCTCGTTACTTATATCAAAATCCGGAAAACCGCATACTATCGGAGAGAAGTTAATTTTGCCAGCCGTTAAAGAGGTTTTAAAAACTGTTTTACACAAACCTGCATCTGATATCATTAAAATAATTCCCTTAAGCAACAATACTGTTGAAAGACGTATTGATGAAATGAGTTCTGATATTGAAAGCTTCTTATGTAATTATTTGCAAACGACCCATTTCTCTATACAACTAGACGAGTCTACTTTACCTGATAATGCAGCATTATTATTGGCATAGTATGTTCGTTTTATTATGAATCAAGAAATCTACGAAGAACTGCTCTTCGCAAGAACTTTGATAACCGACACTAAAGGCGAATCAATATTTCATGTTTTGAAGGATTACTTCATTGAAAAAGCAATTCCTTTATCAAATATAATATCAGTAGCTACAGATGGAGCACCTACCATGGTTGGACGTTATCGTGGATTTATAAGCTATTTAAAACAAAATGTGTCAGGGGTGTTAGCAATACATTGCGTCATCCATCGACAACATTTAGTTGCTAAAAATTTCAGTGTTAGATTGCATGAATCACTTCATTTAGTCATTGATGCAGTAAACCGATTCCGAAGCAACGCGTTGATACGCGGTTAATATGCGCAGTTGTGTAAAGAAAATGACGAACACTTTCATCAATTACTCCTCCACACTGAAGTACGCTGGCTGTCGAAAGGCTTATGTTTGACAAGATTTTTTGCACTTTTTGAGACTATTTTAGAATTTCTGGATACTAAAGATAAAATTTCAAAAGAAAATTTAATGAAGAGGAAAACAGACATCGCATATTTAACAGATTTGTTTACAAAATTTAATATGGCTAATTTGCAATTACAAGGCGACAGTTTAAATTTGATTAAAACAAAGTCCATCTTATCAGCGTTTCTTGCCAGAGTTAAACTAATGAAGCAAAATATTGGACGGGGCGAATTTTCTCAGTTCCTCAATTTGTCATAGACAAGCTGCCAGGAAGACGACGTTCCAACTTACGTTCAACATTTAAATGCCCTCTATTCAGATTTTGAATCTAGGTTTGAGGATATTTTGATTATGGTAATACCACCGTGGATAATTAATCCATATGGTGACATAGAAGAAACGAATGTCATAATACAAGAGGAACTGACTGAACTAAGTACAAACGAAGAACTTAAGGTTCAGTTTAAAAACGGATATCAGCAATTCTGGCTGCAAAACAACATACCCGTTACTTATCCCGTATTATGGAATATAGCGAGGAAATTTTTAATTTCCTTTCCATCGTCATACCTAGTGGAAAGGGGGTTCAGCGCTGTTACCAATCTCCTAACGAAAAAAAGAAATTGAAAATTGACGTCAAATGTTGATAATTTATTATTAAAGCATCACGTTCATCCTTCTCACTAAAAATATTGACTTATTGCTTATGCTATTTTATTTATAGTTTATTTTATGTTTATTGGTGTCTGACCAATAAATTCCCGAATTGGGAATAAGTGCCCGCATTGATTTTTTTAAAGAACCCCCCTTTATAGAAAATATTTTTTTTTAAATTATTCTGAAAATTCAAGGATAGGTACACACTAAAATTCGTTTTTTGCCTATTTTTAAATAACTTAAACGTATAAGAAGCGGAATTTAATCAAACTAACAGTGAAATTATTGTAGAACATACGTTTATGTTATAATTAATAAACGAACTCGCTTATTGTACTATTTTAAGTAAAAAACTTTTTTTTTATTAGTTTTCACTTTTTTTATTTTATCCCTCTTATTTTTTTCCAATGCGGGCACTTATTGGTCAGACACCTGTTTATTTAATGTTACGTGTATTTGCAAAACAGATACAAAATTTTATTTTGAGTAGTTTTAATTTAAATTCAATTAATAAATGTATAAATTAACATGTGTTTTTACTTTAAGTTTTTAACACTAAACTTCACTACAGTTAGAAATTTACAGGAAATCAATATCAGGTAAGTAGGGGGTCTACCCAACACGGAAAAACATGGCAAGGGGTCTACGCCACAAAAAAGTTTGGGGAACTCTGGTTTAGAGTCAAGTCAACTTTCAGTATTGTTGGTAGATTTTAAAAAATCATTTTTACGTTAAAATGATTTACGCCAAAAACCGCCCAAATAGACTCTTGTATGAATAGATCACAGAGAGCAATTTTGTTGTACGTAACATAGGAAGTAAATGCAAGACGCTAACAGATTATGAAAATATAGTTAATAATATGTTCAGCAATTTTCGGGAACTGGCTTGCAATATGAGTATAAAACTATGTTTTCTGCAAGGTATTAGAGTTATGGAGATCAGATATCTACCAAAAAAGTTGGGACACAAACATGACAGCAGACTACTACTCCATGTTGAAGAGTGGTGAACCGGAGGGAAAACGTACGAGAAACAGATTTAGCGGGGATTTTAAAGGAAGTGCAAAAAAGATACGATAAATCTTTGTGCTTCAGTGAAGGCCGTCTGACACAATACGAAATTTTGTGCTAAATTTAGTACGCCAGATTTTGTACAAAATTAAGAATAACCTTATGAACAAATTGAGTGCTAATTTTTTAGAACCTGTACCAAATAATATCATGCTAAAAAAAGCAGACGCCTACTGCGAATTTGGAGCAGTACAATGATGTTTTGTCATGATTAGATGATATGATAATCGGTTGACAAAACAAGCCTAACTTCAACCACTTTTATCAGTTGTTGTGCTCAGTTGTATTCATCAGTTTCGTGAAACTCCCTGGCATATACTGTATGCTGTTTTACTTGTGGATTGAAAAATTTATATGATATCATGGCAGAGCATACTATTGAGCGAGCATGAGAAATATGATTGTTTATATGCTGTAAAAAGCAAACAGAAACTCCAAATAAGCCGCGTTGGATATAATCAGAATGACTTTAGAACCAATTAGGCCTATAAGCCAGTGGGCCCTCCACTAGAAGTCTTTTACTCAGCAGCATTCCCAGGTTCCTCTCCCTGATCCATTTTCTACACCAAATTCTTTTACGGTTTCCTTCACTTCGTTTTTTCATGAGGCGGGCAGCTACAATGCAGATCGCTGGATCTGCAGTCGCATATAATAAAGGGTTGTCCAATAGGGACGCAGGAAAGTAAACGTCAATTTGACATAGACGACATCTTTGTTTTCTGTCACCGACATGTCATTTTGTTAGTTGAATGTTTACCATTGATCGCTATGAAGTCGTATTCGATTGAAGACCGCATTAAATTTATTCAAGAGCACTACAAAAATGGTGCAAAAATAAAAAACACGTTTCGCGCGCTTCGTGAACATTTCGGTCGCAACAACCGCCCAAACGAAACAACCATAGGTCGTCTGGTGCGTAATTCGAGGCAACAGGTTCTGTGGCAAATCTGCCAGGCTCTGGCCGGCCAAGGAGCGTTCGCACACCGGAAAATATTGCTGTTGTGAAGGAGAGTGTGAGAAACAATCAACAACGCCTTGATCCCAAGAATTGGGCATTTCGAGAACCAGTTTGCTCCGCATTCTCTACAAGGATTTGAATGTACACGCCTACAAGATCTAATTGACGCAAGAGCTGCGTCGGGCCGACCATTTTTCGCGCCGAACGTTCTCAGATTGGCTCCTTGAACACCGCCAAATTGATGCCAATTTTTCATCAAAAATCATGTTCAGCGACGAAGCGCATTTCACTTTGAATGGGACGGTAAACAAGCAAAACTGCCGCATCTGGGCGAACGAAAATCCCCGTGAGTATCAAGAGCAGCCGATGCATCCTCAAAAAGTGACTGTGTGGTGTGCATTATGGTCAAAAGGCATCATCGGACCTTACTTTTTCGAAAATGCGGCCGGGGACGCCGTTACCGTCAATTCTGAGCGATATCACGTGATGATAGAGGACTATTTTTTGCCGCAACTTGAAGGAATGGATATGGACGATGTTTATTTCCAACAAGACGATGCAACATGCCACACAACCAACGTCAATATCTATCGATTGCAGTCCTTCTTCGGTGATCGCGTGATTTCGCGCAGAGGAAATGTGCCATGGCCACCAAGATCGTGCGATTTGACTCCCTTGGACTTCTTTTTATGGAGATATTTGAAAAGCAAAGTCTACGTCAACAAACCAGCCACCCTCCAAGAACTCAAAAACAACATCATTGCCGAGATAAATGCCATAGAACCGACCATGTTGCAAAATGTCATTGAAAATTTCGACCATCGCGTGGACGTCTGTAAATCCAGTCGTGGTGAACATTTGAGCGATATTATTTTTCATACATAAATGGTATAAATGAACCTTCAAAATAAAGTACCCAACTTGATTTGAATATCAATCTTTCTTGTTTTAATATGCGTTTACTTTTCTGCGTCCGTTTTGGACAACCCCATATAAAACTTCCCACCACGAATTCATCAAAAACCACTGATTAAAAGAAAAAACGCCGAGACACGTCAGAAGAATTGTCAAGGGGGACAACTTTTTAACCAAAAACTACTCCACCTTTCACCCTCGCCCTCCAGGGTCATTCCCTTAAAAAATGAAAATGACAAGGGGAATCGAATAATAGCTTGTTTGAAAAGTATTTCGACGTCCTTTATTTTCACGTTTGATTTTTTTAAATCAGTCGAATCGTTTTCGAGAGAATTAGAAAAATATTTTTTTATCTCATTTTGTTCAGGTAGGAAACAAAAACAAACGAAAATATCACTTGTTATTTCAATATCAACCCGATTTTTTCCTTCATTCTTTTCATCAATACAGATATCCTGGGCGACATGTATTTATTGTTATACCTGTTTATTTATTTGTTGCCAAGGGAAACAAAGAATTTAATTTGCTGTCACTTACCTTTGTGACAATCTTGTGATAGTGAAAATTAATTTGTTGATTCAGATTTTACATCCATTGGCAAGTGAAGATGAATGCTATATTTTACAAGCTTGTGTAGTCAACTAAAACATCGGCATGGTCTGTCAGAAACGGTTCAAATCCTATTGTGCTTCTGGAGATCTTATCTACTAAAGGGTAGACTTTTTATTAATAGGTTTTCTGGGCCTTGAGACAAATTTTACGCCGCAAGCCATTAGTATCCACTTTACGCCCTTGGTACATAAATAACTATTCATAATTTTAATTTATATAAAAAAGTTAACGCCTGAAATGAAAAACAAGCAATAGATCGATGTAAGCATGTCGGATGTATCATAAAATATAAACTACGAATATATGAATGAATCCCTGTGTTTAAACGGCAACTGTTTGAAATATAACTGACATATTTATACAGGGTGTTTCAGTTTATTGTTGCATAACTTTAAGATTCGATAGAACTTTTAAAATTAATGCATAAAGTCTATATAAACATGGGTCGAAAAATGCGTGACGTCCGAAATACAGGGTGTTTAAATTTACTTTCTAAAATAGTTTTTTTTAAATATTTCGAACAATATTTGATGTATAACAGTGAAAATTGGTATACAAGGGTTTTTTGGTACGACAAAACGAACCATGGGCATAGTTTCACTGTAGCCACTAGAGGGCGCTCTCTACTGTACATGTAGTGTATTAAAATGACCGAAAATTTTTTCTTAGTGCAATTTTTTGCTTTTTGAATAAAAAAACTGATTCTTCGCAATTTTCAACAAAAGCTCTTCTGTGAGATTTCGTTATATTTAGCCGTTTTTGAGATATTTCGATTTTTAATTATTTATGGGAAAATAATATTTTTTTTTACATTTTCGATTTGGGCATTACAAGTAATTAAAATGATCGTTTAGATTGTGTTTTTAAACACAGCAATAATTCCTAACTCCAAATAAACACAAAAAACAGAATATTAATTTGTTTAATTCTCCAATATTATTTTTAACAAATTAAATTAATTATTTACAACTAAAATGCTATTGGATAGTTAAGACAAACATACAAAATCTAAAGTAGTTGCTCCGAATCTAAACCCAATTGTTCAATACACAATTCACATCTACGAATGATCGAACGTGGTATAGCACTATTCAAATAAGGCCTTATTTCACCACATGCATTCCTGATTCTGTCTATTAGCATATCTCTTGTCGTTAAGGGAGTCTGGTACACTTTTTCTTTTAGAAATCCCCACACAAAGAAATCTAATGGATTTAGGTCAGGGGATCGTGGAGGCCAGGCGACTGGTCCTCCACGGCCGATCCATCTTTCTGGATAATTTTCGTCCAGCCAGTTTCTAACTATTCTCGAATAATGAGCTGGACAACCATCAAGCTGGAACCAGGCCAATCTTCTTAAATCTAACATAACATCATCCCACATATTTGCATGTTCAGCCGTTAAAAGAAGGTCGCAGCATTTAACCTTGTAGGCAAAAGGTAGGGTCCAAATAGTCGATTACGGTAGATACCAATCCACACGTTCACACTAAATTCATGCTGAAAATT